ATGTAGCTTTGCAAAATTTTGTATTAAAGAATGGAAAGCAAAGAAGGGTGGCAAACTAATTTCTACTTGGGAAGGTTTATTTTTCTTATAAGTTCTTTAGTTTCTTAATCAATAAAATGGAAATAATATCTGCTCTATTTATTTCAAATCTGTTATATGAGGATCAACTGAGAACTTTGAACAGCTATTTAAAAACTGAAGCTACTGAACTTATTTATAATATTTATCTTTATGTACTTCATTGGGCAGCATTAACTCTACCTTATAGACACTGCCAATCATTTTTAGTTAAACAAAATAAATACTCATCAGTGAATTTTGCATTTTGTAGTACAGGGTTCTAAATTTTAAAGAAAGAGAAATGAATAGAAAACAAATACAAGCATTGCAACAGAAAAAATATTGAAGAATTCCAAGGCTACAGTGCCCATCAGAATGGAAAGGCAAATACAAGAAGAAAAATCTATAATATAGGAAAAGGTTCAAGCCCATACTTGAAATACTATCTTCTTAATACCCCACATGAGTTTAACTAAGTAAAACCAACTTGTAGAAGATCATTTTAAAAATTTTAAAATGTATTTCTTTCAGATATATATAAGATCAGGATACACCCTGACATAATCACAAAAGCATGGAACACCACTGGCTCCATTTCATTCATCAGTACCCCCCCCAATTCCCACTCCCAGCTTATCTCCCTCTATTGCACTAATCTTTTTTAAAACCCTTTACAGTTTACTTTTTTGTTGTTTATTTAATCAGTGTCTTGTGGATATACTCAATGCCAGGACCCACCATTCCACATCTATGTATACACATACAAAAGTTTGGTCAGACTCATTCCACTGTTCTGTTTTTCCACCCCTTCTTTGTCTTCCTCAATCCTTTCATCTTCTCTAATGATCTTCCCTCTATTTTGATGAAATTTCCTCTCCCTTTTTTCCCATTACTTTTTTATTCCCCTCCATTATTTTTGATTAACTTCTGCATATCACATAAAATATTCAACCTTTGACTTTGTGAGACTGGAGTATTTCCCTTAGCATGACAGCCTCTAGATCCATCCATTTACTGGCAAATGCCATATAAGGCCATTCTTTTTTATGGCAGAGAATACTCCATTGTATGTGTATGTGTGTGTGTGTCACATTTTCCTTGTCTATTCATCTGCTGAAGTGTACTTCAGTTTGTTTCATAGCTTGGCTGTTGTGAATTGTGCTGCTATAAACACTGATGGGGAACATCACTGTAGTATTCTCATTTTAAATTTTTTGGATATATAGCAAGGAGTGGGATAACTGGGTCATATGATGGTTCCATTCTTAGTTTTTTGAAGAATTTTCATACTGCTTTATTTTTTGTAATCCTTATAAGGGGCATATATCAAGAATGGCATATGCCTGTAATCCCAATTACTCAGGAGGATTCCAAGTTCAAGGCCAGCCTTGAAAACACAGCAAGACTCAAAATAAATAATAAAAAGGGCTAGGGATCTAGCTCAGTTGCAAAGAACCCCTGGATTCAATAGCACTGCCAAATAATAATAATAATTATTATTAAAATAATAATGATAATAAATTTTTTAAATTAAAATATAGTCCTTAAAATATTAGGAAATTAGTTATTTTACTATAAATTTTCAGTTAAAGGTAACATTTGTATTTCTGGGTAGTAAAATATAAATAAATTAAGAGACTAAACATCTTGCTGACCTTGCACTAATGGAGTAAAAAAAAAAAGTAACCAAAAAAAATAAATAACCATTAATTTAATCTCCCTTGGAAATCCTAAGGTATTGATAGAATCAAAAAATATGTCTATTATTTCAAGGCAAAATAATTTGGTACCAGGGATTGAACCCAGTGGTGCTTATCCACTGAGCCACATTCCCAACTCTTTTAGAACTTATTTTGAGACAGGGTCTTGCTAACTTGCTTAGTGCCTTGCTAAGTTGCTGAGGCTGGCTTGAATTCGTGATCCACTTGTCTCGGCCTCCCAAGACACTGGGATTACAGGCATGTGCCCAGATCCGTAAAGCTTTAAATGTAAATATAATTGGATCATAAATTATCAAATGTAAGAGACAGATATACTTATTGTGAAAACATATAAGAAATTAACTCATATCAGCCATCTTATATTAAAAGAGATGAATGGTAACATACTTTTTCTAAACTTGATATTATTAGGAGACTAGGTGGTAAAATTTTATATCAGATATCTTTTATCTGTGACCTGTTACTTCTTTCCCAATGTGAAGGTTGTTTTGAAAAATAGAAAATGGCTCATGTTAGAAATATATGGAAATTATAATTGGCATATATTTCAGCTTTGCTGATCATATGCTAAATATAAATATGGAACCCAGGAAACATCTGATTTAATTTTACTTGTTTTAACTGAAAAAAATTGACCAAATGACTATGAAAGTCTACGGTAACACAAGTTGAAATGGAGTAGATTAGTTGTCTAAATCAGTCAATCAGAAAGCAGCATCAAGTCACACAGGTAAAACATAAAATTCAACTAGTGTATCTATTTATTTTTCAATGCTGGGGATTGAATCCAGAACCTCATGCATGCAATGCCCCTTCTCTACCACCAAGCTACATTACCAGTTCCTAATGTTCAAATCTAAAGATCACTGTTTAAACCACGTGTAACACAGAGTAGTTTTTACAATCCTATACTATTTTACAACAAGAACAAAAAAAGCCAACAAAAACAAACAGTTATGACCATCACATTGGAATAAGCAATGACAACCAAAAAATCTTATAAATGAAAACAATTTTTAAAGGCATAAATTTATTCTGAGTCTGGTGATGCACACCTATAATCCCGGTGGCTAGGAACTGAAATAGGAGGATCACCAGGTTCAAAGCCAGCCTCAGCAACTTAGCAAGACCCTGTCTCAAAAAGTAAAAATAAAAAAGAGCTTGGATGGTGGAAAATATACATGTATACAAAATACATGTATGAAGATGTTAAAAAAAGAGCTTGGAATGTGGCTCAGTGGTTAAGTGTACATGGGTTCTATTTCTGGTACCAAAAAAGGAAAAAAAGGATAAATTTAAATGGTTAGTGTTTATCACTCATATAGTTTTACTGATAAAAACTGTAACACAAAACCATCACACACCAAAAGTATTTCTTTTTAAGTCCAGCCATGAACTAATCAAATTCCTGAAAGTGTTTCTAATACTATTCTCTAAAACTTGGAAATTTACCTTCTTGCTATTTAAATTGATGGCATGCAATAAATCATATTAGCATCTAACAATATATATTTTTACTGTCTTTTCAATAAAATGTGTATTTCCTAATTTTAAGCGAAAATTAGAAAGGTGAATATATGAGTCAATCTACATTAATGGTTATGACTTTGACTTCCCATATAAAGATACATACATATATACATACACAAAGTGCATGCACGAGCACACATACACACACACACACACACACACACACACACACACACACACACACTCTTTTTATCTTCCTGTGGTATAGCGCAAGTTGTTTCTTCATTAATTTATTAATGCTAAAATATAGTAAGGCACTCTTTTCTAATATTTTTAGTTGCAGAGAGACAAAATACCTTTGTTTATTTAGTTTTTCTATGTGGTACTGGGGATCAAACCCAGTGCCTCATGTGTGCTACGCAAGCACTCCACTGCTGAGCCACAACTCCAGCCCCTAAATCAGTCTTTTCTAGTGCTTTTGTAGCTTTTTAAACTCCTTTTATAAAGTAGCAACATAAATATTTCTATACCTCATAGCCCATATGATCTGTATATAAATATTTAGATGATTTTGCTAAGAGCTAATATTTGATTATACTAAAAATTAAAGTGTTATTAAGTAAAATGCAAAAGCTAAAATGACAACATTATACTGCTTGTCAATTGAAAGTGTTTCATGATCACAGTTTACAGAGATAGTTACATACAATATTTCAAAGAAGAGTGTTGAACAAACTCAACTGCTGGCTTCTCTGTGAGATAAATTAACTTAAAGACACATTTTACAAGGGAAAAAGAAATAGAAGTTAATTTTATACACAACTAAAATGAGAAAACAGTGGTATTCCCCTTAGTTCTTGGAGTGTACACAACATATAGCTAAACTAAGAGGAAGCATACTGTATCATACGTCTTGATTCTATTACTTACTAATTTTATCCTGTAGTATAAATCACAATCTCTCCAAATATCAATATACTAATCTATGCAATGAAAATATTACAAAATACTATTTTCAAGGCTCATTCCAACTTAAAAAATCTATGTGAAAATATCTACAGAAATGACAACCATAAAAATTACAGCATAAATAGAAATGCCTACGTTAGTCAGAACTAATTAGCTAGTCTTTAAAATAGTAACTTCTGAAATAATTTAAATTTAATTCTCTCTGACATCCAGAAAATGGATCTTAAATTACTTCAGACTATTCTTATAGTTTAATATTTCCAAATAACAGCTCTTTTCTACCCTGATATTAAAGATAATCTTATTCAGTTTATTTCAGATAATTCTATATTTAGTAATACAGTTACTTATGTACTGTCAATTAAATCTTTCACCTATTACACTTAAAGTGGGACCTTATGACATGTAACTTTTTTCAAAAAAATTGTTTATTAAAAACATTTCAGTCACAAAAATTTCTGATGGAAAAATCTGTCTTATACTTTAACTGCAGTTGATTATTAATAATTGCATTTACTTATTAAAAACTTACCTGAGGGCTGGGGTTGTGGCTCAGTGGTAGAATGCTTGCCCAGCCTGTGTGAGGTGCTGGATTCAATCCTCAGCACCACATAAAAATAATAAAATAAAAGTTTTGTGTCCAACTACAACTAAAATAAATATATTAAAAAACTTACCTGAATAACTATCATTAACTGATAGGACCCTTTTTTCCTTTCCCATTATTCTCTTTCTTTATATGCTAAAAATATTGCTTAATAAATCAACATGATTACTTACAAGGCAAGAATCTGCTTCTCCCTCTTCCATTGGCTCATCAACCATTTTAAGACCATTTACCTGAAAAACATCGTTCAAAAATTGATAGTCAGGAATATTAAACCAAGAGTAATAACTAAGAGATATATAACCCTAGGCATTTCCCTTCCCAATCTACTAAGGCCCGCACTTACTGAAAAACAGGAGGACCAAGGACACATAGGCGGTACTTAGAAAAGAAAAACTACTAATATGGTTCCCAGATTGACCTTAAGAATCCTTGATTTTTCAGAGCTTTATGTTTCATTTCATATTGTTTAGGACTTTGCTAGGACATATGATCATACACTAAGTACATTAATTATGTATTTTCATTAAGATTGTCCTAAAGAAAATGTCTATGACATAAAAAAGTGTCATAGAAGAAATCTACCTTGGATATGTTCAAGAAAATTAGAATGGAAATAATTTTACATAATTAAACTGTTATAAATTCCACTCCATCAGGTGAATTCTATTTAAACACATAAACTACTACACAGAAGAAAAAATATACTACAGAAAATAGATATAAATGGCCATGAAAAGAAATTATTTCAACATACACATCTCAGTATATAATTAAACATATTCTTCAACCACTAATTAAGGGAAAAGTAAATATAAACAACTTAGATAAAGGGTCTACAAACTATGATCCATAGGCCAAATCTGACCTGCTGTCTGTTTCTGTATTAAATGTTCCTGGAGCACAGCCACACCCAATTGTTTCTAAACAGCAAAACTGAACAGTTGTGACAGAGATCCTATGCCTACAAGGCCTAGGATTATTATTTGACCATTTATGAAAAAAATCTGCCAATCACAGACATAAGATGTTTGAAACAGCAAAATGGTCTGGGGATAAAAAGGAATCTTATCATTGTCCACTTCAAAGAGTCCAATAAAAAGTAGAAAAAATGAAGTAAATTAAACAGAGCTACTGGTGAGAGTCAAATGGAATAAGCCCACAACACCTATCTCTCCCCTGATTATACCTAAAACTCTAGGCATAAAACAAAAGGAAACTACCTAAGGACTCTACAAATAAGCAATAGAATTGGAAAAAAAGATCAAAATTTGAAAAATAACTGATGAGTTCCCTGACTTTATTTTTCACCTTTATCCCCCTGAAATTACCCAAGGACAGGCTAAGCCATGGATCTCTACTGCACATGAACAACATTTCCCAGAGAAATCCTACTTTGTAGACAGAGAACCAGGGGAAAAAATGCACTTCTGAGGTGTTGAACATAAGGAGAAGCTAAGAATTTCCCATGACAGTCTTCTTTTCAACTCCCATTCCTAATCTAAGGTAAACTCCATTAAAAAGAGAACCTGTCTCTCTGACGAGAGGAAACAGGAAAAGAGGATTCTATAATAGGAAAGGCATGGAAGTAATCCCTGTTAGTTTTTTCACTATCTTCTTCACGTCATTCCAAGGGCAGAAAGACTAAGACTTTGAGACAAACTCATATTGCTTTCCAGAAGAACAGCATCAGGGCCTCTGAGAAACAAATAATTTGAAAGAAATAATGGGAAAAACAGAATGGCAGAAAGATATCTCCTAATTATTTGTATGAATTAATACATGTGAGGTTCAACAACAAAATGCATGTACAGCAAATACAACCAAAGAATACAAAAAAAAAAAGATTTGAAAACTGACCTGCACTATAAACCATTGCTCAAGTTTTAGACCAAAAGTGAATTAGGAAGTGCACTCAGTAGCAAATGCACAATAATACCCAAATGCTCTGAAAACTAAATTAACATTGTAATAATTATCCAAAGAGGGGAAGACAGAACTTAGGAGTATGAACCAAACAAGGTAGTTTTCTTGATGAAAGAAACAAACACCAATGGATCAATTCCAAGATGCCTCTCATAGTCAAATATCTGTCAAGGATTTTAGAACAGCTGTATCAAATAAGATTTTTTTAATAAAACAAAACATATCTGAATGTAATGAAAAATACTTCTCAGCAGATATATAGAAAGTAAATAAGAATCAATGTAAGTAATTCCAGATCCCAAAATCATAATATACAAAACAAAAAAAATGGATATAATCAATAAAAGAATGCAGATAGAAGTGGATACAGTAAAGTTGAAGATAGATAAACAGAAACAATACAATATGAATACAGTGAAAATGATCAAACAAGCTGCTTTGCAATCCAGAAATACCACACTGGGTATATACTCAAAGGAAATAAAATTAGAATGTCAAATAATACCCACCTGCACCTGTACTCCCTTGTTTACTGCAACACTATTTACATTACACAGGATGTGGAATCAACCTAAATGTTCATTAACAGGTGAATAGATAAAGAAAATGCAGTATTTATACACAATAGAATACTATTCAGCCATAACAATCATAAAATTCTGTCAACTGCAACAACACGGATGATGCTGAAGAACACTGCACAATCTCATTTATATAGAGAATATAAATCTAAAAAGATAATCTCATAGAAATTCAAATCAAAATAGTGGTTGCCTGAGACTGAGGAAAATAGTGGGAAAGGGTATGGGGATAGATCCATTACAGGTACAATGTTATTTTTAGATAGCAGAAATAAGTTCTGATAATAAGTTCATATATTCAAGTTATATGTGAATATAACAAACAATTTTTTCATTCTCTGTCCCAAAATAATTAGAATTTGAAAGAACTCATCATAAGGTAATGATAAAAGTTTAAGGCATTGGATATGCTCATTACTTAATTGATCACTAATCAAGATAGCACATGAATACATATATGCATAAAAAATAAATTAACAGAGCCTCAGACACATGGAACAATATTAAATGGTCTAAGATCCATGTCATTAGTATCCCATTAAAAATAGAATCATACTGAAAAAAATTACTTAAAGAAAGATGTTCCCATTCCCATGAAATGTTGAGAATAGGGAAATCTACAGAGATAGTAAACAGACGTTGTTCAAGGCTGATATATGAGGAGATAAAGGTAATAAAAAAATAGTACAATGGTCCTTTTGGATGTGATGAAAAATTTGATGTTTGCAAACATCTGTGAATATAATAAATATATCAGATTATATATTAAATGGATGAATTATATGATATATGAATTATATCACAATAAAGCTCTTTTAAAAAGCATTAATAACTGAAAATGTACTAAATTTATAGATTTAAGATCAAAGAACCCCAAATAGGACAAAGTTATAGAAAAACCACCCAAAGACATATCTTTTCTTTTAAATATTTATTTTTTAGTTGTAGTTGGACACAATACCTTTATTTACTCATTTTTATGTGGTGCTGAGGATTGAACCCAGGGCCTCGCACATTCTAAGCGAGCACTCTATTGCTGAGCCAGTCTCAGCCCCAAAGATATATCTTAATTAAGCTACTCTAAACCAAAAGAAAAGTAGGAGAAAAAATATTGAAATGAGAGAAAAGTTTTAAATAAAGGGAACATCAAATTGGCTTCAGATTCCTCAATGAAAAATCATGGAGGTCAGAAAACAGCTGAAGAACATTCACCTGAGAAAAATGGAAATGCATGTAAACAAATAAATCTGTGTATGAATGATTAAAGCAGTTTTATACATAACTGTCATATATTGGAAAGAGTCCATGTGTCTTTGATCTGGTAAACTGATATTAATCATCAATAAAAATAAGAAAACTACTGATATCTGAGAATATACAGATGGATCTTAAAAGCGTTTTGCTAACTCAAAGAAGTCAAACCCAAGTGCTAAATATTGGATGACTTGTCTACAAGACACTGAAAAAGGCAAACTACAGGGAAAGAATTTATATCATTAGTTTCCAGGGGTTGAGAGTTGAGTAAGGCAACTCACTACCAAGCAATAAAAAGGAATGATTTAATGATACACTCAACAACATGGGTAAACCGCCAAATATATCATTGTAAGGGAAAGATGCAAGATACAAAAGGCTATATAAGGTGATTCTATCTATAGCATTCTGAAAAAGGCAAAACTATAAAGAATGGAATAGATTAATGGTTGCCAGGGATTAGGGCATACTACAAAGAGGCACCTTAACGGGCATCGGGTGGTGTGCCAAGGGGGTAAAGGAACTACTCTTGATCTTGATTGTGGTGGTAGTTACACAAAGTTATTTATATAACTATATTTGTCTATCCTCAAACCACACATGAAAAGGAGTAAATTTGAGTATATGAAATTTTTAAATCAATATATTTTAAGACAATTTACACAACTTAATGAATATCATCTTATAAAAACCAAGTAAAGCAACTAATGTTTATTTTTTTAATTTTTAAAATTGATTTTATTTTTAAATACACGACAGCAGAATGCATTACAATTCTTACTACCCATATAGAGCACAATTTTTCATATTTATTTGTATATATAGTATGTTCACACCAATTCATATCTTCATACATGTACTTTGGATAATGATGTTAATCACATTCCACCATCATTGCTAACCCCATGCCCCCTCCCTTTCCCTCACACCCTCAGCCCTATCTAGAGTTTGTCTATTCCTTCCATGGTACCCCTCCCTACCCCACTATGAGCCAGGCTCCTTATATCAGAGAAAAAATTCAGCATTTGTTTTTGGGGGATTGACTAACTTCACTTATCATTATCTTCTCCAACTCCATCTATTTACCTGCAAGTGCCATGATTTTATTCTCTTTTATTACTGAGTAATATTCCATTGTGTATATATGCCACATTTTCTTTATCCATTCATCCACTGAAGGGCATCTAAGTTGGTTCCACAGTTTAGCTATTGTGAATTGTGCTCCTATAAACATTGATGTGGCTATGTCCCTGTAGTATGCTGTTTTTAAGTCCTTTGGGTATAGACGAAGGAGAGGAATTGCTGGGTCAAATGGTGGCTCCATCAGTCCTTATTTTAATCTCTGTAGCATATTACAGGTGACCAAACTCCTATTAGATTCTTTGGCTTCTTTGATATCACTATCTCCTTTTCTATTTCTATATTTTCTTTAATTGCTCTTTTTCTATATCCTTGAAACATAATAACTCCTC